AAAAAAAAAAAAGAAAAACATTTTTTTTTTAAAGTAAATATCAAAATTCCAATTGATTTGCGTTTTATGATGCCCAGGCACTTTCGGTCGTCGGGAACTTTACGATCTTTTCTCAAGAAAAGCAGGAATTGACAATTTTGTGAATGTGGCCCAATAATTATTAAAAGTCTGTTGAGCCGTGGAATTAAATTTATGTACGTCCAAAAGTTCAATTTTAATGCTTATTGATATTTTATGACTGTCATATAAAACAAATATTACCGGAGAACATAGCGATGCTTGTTGTTGTTGTTCAGTTGAAATCTTCATTTTTGGTGCATGCACCGAGGCGTTGATGTCCCAAAAAGTTGGGGATGGAAAGCGATGACTCCGAGCTTCCGCTCTGCCTCATACGCACACCACCGGACTTAATTTTTTTTTTAACTGAGGTTATGTAGCAGCTTTGTAGGCGTTACGGAAAAAAAAAGGTCACCAAATGCGTTACTCGTAACTAACTCGAAATAAAAATAAAAAAAAACGCGTTGCCGATTTGCGTTACCTCGAAGTGAAAGGAACGCGTTAACGATAAAAAGTAACGCACGTTACTTTTGCGTTACTTTCTTTTTATTTACGGATTCAAATGTTTTACTGTTCAAACGTCACAAGTATGCATAAGCGCCGTTTTTCAAGAGGCGTTATGTTCACGCGGTTCCCCTGAATACTCACGAAGAGAAACGTGAAGAAATACCCAAGAAGTTAGATAACTGCGCCAAAAAAGGAAAAAAAAAAAGAAAAGGGATTTAAGTGTAACTTTTTTTTTTTTGTCTTGAGAAGGCGTAACGAGTAACGTAACTACCTTCTCCGTTGCTAGATATGAGTAACGTAAGTTTTCGTTACAGTTTTTAAACGGTAGCGAGTAATACTGTACCGGTAAAGGCATTACTTGTCGCGCGTTACCGCCAACACTGATTCAGCAGTTCGGATTACAACTCGTGAGGTCACGGCTTGTAAAATGCTGGTTATGACATCACGTAGGGGAACCGTAAGATGACGTCACCGAAACATCCCCGCGCTAATACTTCTCGCTGTCTGTTCAGCTCCAAGTTTGGACCTCTCGAAAACTCTTGGGACTGCAAAAAATAACACGTTTCATAGCCTCCTCTGTACGGAGAAAGCCTGGCGCGTCGCGAGAAAAGACGGCCGCCGTAAATGGGAAAGGAGGGGCGGAGAAACGGGAGCGGAGAGAACCTTGCCTGCTAGCGCCACAAAAGAGCGAGCGGCCAAACGCAGAAACAATCTTTTTTTTTCTCTCTCTCTTTTCTTGTCGCTATCGTGGAGAGGAGAAACTCAACGTCCACCCTTTCCCGTTTCTGTCTGCGCCCTTTCGAATCGCCGCGCCCGTTTCTCCCGGTGTACGAAAACGACGGTGACGAAAACACAAAAACAAGCGTGGTTCGGGGAGCGGCCGCTCATGACCCAAGCGCTCGCTGTCTAGGTCTGCCCTTTCTGCTCTGCGCTACCATATTGGTCACCGTTCGGCGCGCTCCTCCTCTCCTTTTTCCTGCGGCCGCGCGCCCTATGGCTCCGTTGTCGATGTGCCAGGCTTTCTCCGTATAGAGGAGGCTATGCACGTTTGTACGCTTTTCTTTTGTTTTTTTACGAGCTGCTATCGACTGGTCTTTTCGGCTGCCCGACTGGGTGCACGATACAACGATACACTTTTTTCTTTCCAAGTCTTTTTTAGATAAGCTTTGTAATCCTCTTCAATCTTGCTTGGCGTCATCTAGAGCCACAAGATAAGGTACGTTCCAGTATAACGGCACGTCAGCCATCTTGAGCTTAAAATACCATTGTTGCCGGTTATCTGTACCCAAAGCTACAGGTCGCGAGCTCTAATCAAGAGCCAAGTTATAAACCGCGTGGTATATTGCTGCCCAACGGGCGTATCGGTTCCCGCGTTTCGGAGCACCGGCGTATATCACGTGGTTTCTAGCTGGCTCCTGATTGGACCCGATTGGACCTGGCTTTGGCCGCATAGTCCGTCGTATACGGTGAAACGAGGTATTTGGGATCTAAGTAAAAACAAAACGAAAACTCTTTTCTTCATTGTTACGGTTTCGTGATAACGCCTATACGCTTTGAGGGATGGCTTGACGAATGAGGAAAAATCGGTTATTTTTGGTCTTCTCTCTTCTTTGTCGTTTGTCCCCCTTTCTCTCTCTATCTCGCAGTTTCTCGATTTCGCCGAGAAGTGGCGAGAGCGCGTGGCGGGGAGAGCGTTGCGGGAGCCAATTTTTTTTTGCGACATCTGGTCGAAATTGAAGATTGAGCCGAAATCGATGTGTGATCGACTTGCTTGCTCCGCTGGGGTGACAGCCGCGTGGTGGGAGGCTCTTCGATCTCTCTCTTTTTCCTTTACACTCCTCTATTTTCTTTTCTGTCTTTATCGGCTTCACCGGTGTTTGATGATCTTCCCTGTGATACTCGCCATCTTTCTAGCCCCCCCCCCCCCCCTCCCCTCCCCTCCCCTCCATTCTTGTTTACGACAGTGATACTTCCTCCTACACTCTTTTTTTTTTTTTTCTATTGCAATGGAGCAGCGCGATTGCTACGAGCCAGCGGAGTGAATTCAGTGTGGCATGAGTGGCACGTGACCCGTGGAAGGGGCACACCGACGCACCAGGGCGGGTGGTCACGTGCTCCGGATGGTTGGTGCCCTGGTCGCTCACCAGGGCACGATATTGCGCAGAGTAGCCACGTGATACATTGACGGCGGTCGATTGGCGAAGATGGTTTACTTGTAACGTCCGCTGTGGTCCAGCGTTAGGTGAAAGGGAATAAAAGCCTCCGGTACTCTCCCCTTAACATCGGATCGAAGTGGAAAAAGAAAAAAAAGAAAAAAGAAAGAAAGTATCAAGAAACGAACGTTGAAATCGAAAGAAGGTAAAAAATGGAAACAAGTGTCCCGAAAAATTGAGAGGTAGAAATTTCCTTTCTGGTGGCGTGTTTGTTTTCGGAGATGTCCATCCTCTTGCTTTCGTTTCCAATTTTTTTTTTTTTTTTTTTTTTTTTTTTTTTTTGCTGTGGGTTTTTGTTTTGCGCACGTATTCGAGTGTTGTGGACGCAGCAGGGTCGCTCGTGAGTTTTTGAAACGCGAGCATGTTTTCGTGTCAATGCGCACTGCAAGTTCGTCTGCTTTTTGCGCAGGCGTTGCGGTGACGTCAGAACGACGCCGAGCTCTGATTGGCTCCGATTGAAAGGACAGTGGGTAGGCATCTCGCATTGAGGTCTACCCACTGTCCTTTCAATCAGAGCCAATCGGAGCTCGACGTCGTTCTGACGTCATCGAAACTCGTGCGCAGGAAGCAGACGACTTGCTCCCCGCGTTCCACGAATTCCGAAAACGTTATTAACATAAATGCGCGTTTTTTTTTTTTTTTTTTTTTTTTGTTTTTTTTTGCGCGCGAAAGGTTTGTTTAGTGTTGGAATTTCTTCGAGTGAAGGGCTCGCCGCGCTCACTGTTAACTCCATTAAAGAAAAAAAAAAAGTTTTGAATTTTGATTTGGTTGTTTTGGGAAAGGGTGGAATTTTGCTTTCCCGAAGTTGCGTGGTTTCCCTATGGAAAGAGAAAAAATGCGTAGCAGATTGCTTGGCAATTGTAGTGCGCGTAAAACGTGCGGCTCGTCTGGCCCACTGAGCTAGTATAGTCTTCGCTTACGCCGGCCGATCTTCTTCAGTTGTGGCATCGAGGGATCGCTTAGCAGTACACCGAGCCTGTCGAGACTGTCGTCTTTGTTCAGTCTGATTCCTCTGGGATTGACGTCTAGGCTCCCTGCGCGCTGTACATCAATTCCTGGAATGGAGATACCGGTGCTAGCCCGGGTTTTCAACCCCTGGCGCTCTTCCAGAACCCTTCGTAGCCGCAGACCGTTTCTCCAACAACTTTTTACCCCCCCCCCCCCCCCCCCCCCCCTGGCAGGCGAGCGGTGGCGCGTGAGTGATTGCGCAATTACCAGCCAATCAGCGTCGAGCTGGGGGGTGTGACGTCATCACCTGGCTTAGCCAATGAGCATCGAGTTAATCGGCGGCTTCACTTTCCGGCTTCAGAAATTTCTGTTAGCCAATCGCACGCCGGTAACACGCTCATTCAAACCTGTTTTCCCTCAGCTCCCTTTCAAACTGAATTTAAAAAAAATTCTAATGAATATGCACCAGTCGTATCAAACTCGTTGAGTAGAGCGGGTTGTCTCCGTTCCACTCAATAGTTTCACTTGAACATTTATGACTATCTTGTACGTTTCCGTTGAAAGAAACTTCCTGTAAATCTGACCCCCCCCCCCCCCGAGGCCCCCCCCCCCCGCCAAATAGTAGTTTGGTTACGGTCACAGTCATCATGAAGCCGCGGTCACACTGCTTAACACATCAAACAAAAACAGTCTGCAGACAGTAGAGAGTTTAGGAAACCGTTTTTGCACATCCCACATGGGCCCTCCGGTACTAACTGCGCATGTGCGAGTCTTCTTCGATAGCGCATGCGCAGTTCGTACCGGAGGGCCTACCGTACCGTATCGAATGGGAAAAAACGGTTCCCTAAAACTCCCTAGCGCCTGAAGCGTGTTCCTTCCTTGTCCTGGTACATTGGTCATACAGAGACCGTCTGAAGACGTGTTCGAAGCATGCGTATGTATGAAGCAAACATATTTGAAGCCCGTCCGCGGATAATCCTGTCATTGTGCCTGCAGCGAACACGGTGTCTTTCGTATATGACGTATGATCGGTGCCGATGGATGGCGAAAAAGTCGGCAAGGAATCCGGCGGCCCTGATTGGCCGGCGATGCGTTTGGCCTTGTCACCATCCAATCGCAACTGGCGCATCTTTCGCCGATGTTTTTTTTTTTCGCCAAGTGTTTTAGATTAGAACCCCAGTTCGTCGTGGTCATCGTTATCGTCATCGTCGTTATTTGTCTGCTTACTGTGAGGCTGTATACTGAACTGCGGGAGTCTTCGCCGGTGTCCTGCAGGAGGTGGCCAACGTGTTCGCGGTGTACGGCATCGAGGTGGATCCCCGTCACCTGCTCCTGGTGGCCGACTACATGACGTTCGACGGGACGTACCGGGCCTGCAACCGCATCTCGATGGAGAGCAACGCGTCGCCCCTGCAGCAGATGACCTTCGAGACCACCATGAACTTCCTCAAGTCCGCCACGCTCTCCGGTGAGCGGGCCCTAGTGACGTCACGTTTTAGATGACACGTCATCCACGCACTGCCAACACATGGTGTGGGCAAACGCGGTTTCTTTTTTGCTGACAGCGTGTTTGAATACAATATTTGTTAGTGTTTTATAGCGGAGCTGTTAAGGGCTAGTTTCCCCAGTATCGTGTCCGTAAGCAAACAAATGATGACATGGAATTCTGGACAGCTACCGCCATCTATGAGCGACAGCGGCAACCAGACAATCGGCTTGCCGGTTGTCTGGTTGCCGCCGTTGCTCATAGATGGCGGCAACCGTTCCAGCCTTTCCACTCCGGCTTGCCGACTTGCGGCCGGCCATTACTTATTTCCACCATAGTACAGTTTCGCTGGTCTTTTTTCTTCACCAGAGTAAAAAAGCTGAATTTTTTTTTTACTTTTTTTTTTTTTTTTTTAGGTATGGAGGATAGGCTCAAGTCTCCGTCTGCTCGTCTCGTGCTGGGAAGGGAGGTGTCTCTCGGCACGGGCTGTATGGACCTGAGGCAACCCCACGTGATCTCTCGGAAACGCTGATTTGGCTCCGCACTGCCCCTACTTTCGCAATTCCTCCGTGGTGGTGCCGTGTCGTTACAAAGTGTTTCCATTACGAAGTGCAAGGCACCGAAGTGGAGGCTCTGCAGCTCAAAATAAACATCCACGGTGTGTTTTTCTTTTCGTTGCGCCTGTGTGTAGAAGTATTTTGGTATGTGGTCATTAGAGCGAACTGGGTAGGTGAAGTCCCTTGTATTCAGTGTTGTGGCCGTTATCGAGAATGGGTGACGCAATAACGTACTCGTCGGTGATTCAAACATTAACGCGTTACTGAGATTCCTTACCGTTCTTTCTACAAACGTAACGAATTATTGTTACCGTTACTTACAAAAATCTAACGAACGCTACTTTTGCGTTACTTCGAATTTCAGTATTGTTTGACGGCGATAGGCCGAGAATGCAAACTTGGGCAACAATTAAACGTTTACTGAGTGATTTAATTTTTTTGTGAATAGTTTAATGGTATAGCATAGTGTGTGTTTGTGTGTCTGAGATAGTGAGTGAGTGAGTGAGTGGGGTGGGTGGAGTAGAGTGGACTGGAGTGGGGTGGAGTGGGTGAAGTGGAGTGTGGAGTGGGTGGAGTGAGTGAGGAAATACCCGAAATTTTCTCCGTCCACCGCCGTTCTGAGCGACTCCCCGATCAAGTGCGTCTTCCAAAACTTTGACCCGCATCAAACCAACTGTCCCGCGTTGCGTGCGGACATAATCGGAGAGCTCTCCAGTGTCCTTGGCACGGTGAAGCCACGCCGGAGCATACGACCTCGCGGACTACAGAGCCGCGAGGACTCTGGAACGGTATGGAGAGCTCATCAACGCTGCATCTCGGCCGGTGCCCTTTTGTTGAGCGGCTCTATACGTCACCTTCGTGCTACCTCGATTCGTTTTCACCGTCGCCCAGGTGGGACAATGTCGCCATCGTCACCTGGTTCAGCTGGGAGACGAATTGATTCCACGAGGCAGCGAGGGTGAGGTGGGGGTCGCCGCCCCCGGAGGACGTGCTCTACCTGGACCACGGGTTCCTCCCTCTCCCTTCTTTTTGGGTCCTGGCACCTGACGGGCTCCATCCGAGCTTCGAGGGCGAAAACACTTCACTCGAATTAACGAAATATTATTGTTGGCCACTGGGAAGATATTCGCAGCGACCTTAACGTCGCACGAAATTCAATTGGAACGTGGTCAATCCTGAACAAGTACCCCCCGCCCCCCCCCCCGCCAATAAAGAAAGAAACAAACAAAAAAACAGCGGTTTGTGTTATAATGGAATAGGGCGAATTTTACACGGACAGAGGAAGGAACTGGACAGAACGAGCGCAGTCCTGTCCTGCGTTCGTCCTATCTAGTTCCTTCCTCTGGCCTTGTAAAATTCGCGCTGTTCCATTTTGAATACACACGAACTCGCCCAGTTATCCTGTTTGTGTCATTTAGAGCAAAAAAAAAAAAAAAAAAGTCGCGATGGACTAGAGAAAGCAAGACTAAGAAAACGAGTAAGAAATAACGTACTTCTGCTTTTCCCGGCGTCGTCTGAACGGAGCAGGGAATCCGGGCCGATCAACTCGATGGGAGGTTCCACTGATGCCCCGACGGGCTGCGAGAGCGCCGTACACAGGGGGAGGGGGGGGGGGGCGCTTTTTTGATAATATTATGTGGTAAACCCATCAGGAGATCGCTCTTTCACACCAGACGAGCAGACACTACCTTCGAGGGGTCTACAATTCTGTCTCGCAACCGGCCAGTTTTTGCGAAACGTCTCTCCTACAAGATCTGGACAACTTTGCAGGCAACCTTCGGCTACGGGAATGCTTTCTCGACAAACCCGAAAATGTAGCATAATATTTATTAGTAAAGAGAGATCAGAACTGGATTCCCAATGCTAATCGCGATGAACATTTGAATCTGTACACGAAAGCGGTCCAAAAATACCTAGTAGCAAAATGTAGACACCGCAGGCCACGCACGTATAACTTACGCTCTTCCGAGTGGGATTCCCTGAAATTCCTTAGCAGCACACGTTGTATTCAGGCGCCCGAACAAGCCTAAAATGTATGATGGTGGGGGCCGCGACCACCCCAGTGTAGACCACTGGGAGCCGACCGTGCATGAGGCTGTGATGTAAGGCTTGCAGGCGTATCTTCCCCAGCCAGACCGCTTCAAGTGATGATACCTGAATTGAAAAGCGGACGCAATATTTAAATTGGAGTCGCACTTGCAGTTGAGATTCGAAAAAGCAATTCTCACATTTCCAAGTGCGTCCTAAATAACTCTTTGTAATTTTTTTTCTTTTTCGTATTCGTTACTTGCCGTTGTTAAAGCACCTTTTTTTTTTTCTTTTCCGCTTTTGGCAGAGTGGGTTTGTGTTTACCTTTCGGGACTAGGACAGAATCGCTCCAAATCCTCTCCTCGAAACGAAGAATTGTAATCCCGAAAAAGAGGCCTCCCCTCTTGTAACGTCAAAAAAAAAAAAAAAAAAAAAAAATCCTTATTTTTGTTTAGTCCGCGGATCTTGTGTGTTTTCAATAATCACCGGCCCGCAAGCTTTCATCAACGTGTCCGTGTATATTCCTGGAGCCAAAGGTTTCCCTCCCCCGAGAAGGCAGGGGTGGACGTTCCGGCCGGAGTTGTCTGGCTTCGAGCCTGCTCGTTCCGTATCGTGTTGGGGAGAGATCGCCATCCTGCTGGCCTGCTTTCTCGCACTCCTCCGGGCGTCTCCCCCTCGACTTGAGTGCTTCCGTCTGTTTCGAATATCCATGATCGCGTATCACCATAACGCACCAACTGAGGCTCAAAAGCCCCAAAAACAAGGTACACACATACACCCTTTTTAGGGGTACACGCTTGCGTCCTTCCATACACCTTCAGCGTTCAAGGGTGCACATATACATCCAATATCGAGGTGTGACGATATTCCTTTCGTGCACCCACATCGTCGTTTCGGTGTACAGGCACACCCAAATTTTAAGGTGTCCAAGTATTCCTTTCATACCCACACATTCCCTTGGGAGTAACACCCCAAGGGAACACTCCCTTGGGGTGTTACTCCCAAGGGAGTAACACCCCTGTGTGTTACTCCCTTGGGTAACGATAGGAGTAACGAATGGGAGTAACGATACACCCCATAACAGGGGGTGTATCGTTACTCCCATTACACCGCTTTTTGCATCCAAGGACACTCGAAGGGGACTGTGCACCCACCTTGCTTACAGGGGACGCAGGTACACCTTTTTCGATGGTGTACATCCATGCCCCTTTTTGCACCCCTAAGCCAGAGATAGAGCTCGGATGCACCCCGTTTTTAGCTGCACAGGGACTACCCTGGAAATGCCCTGTGCAAATGTACACACACTTCTACACCACTATACTAAAATGTGTGATACAGGTGCACCCCTTCGAGCAGTGTAAGTGTGCACCCATTCCCAGGCCATCTTAAAAAAATGAAAACACAGGTACACCCACTTTTGCAGCCCACTTTTATGGTCCTACATGCACCCAACCGTATGCCGAAGGAAATGTCAGTGAACCCCTCGAAAGGGTAGACACAGGCACATCTTCGATCGCCCCTGTTTCCAGAAAAAGTAAAAGTTGTAAGTACCGTTGTCTACTCAGACTGAAATGAATATTGGGAGCACAAACTCGGGCTCAAATCCCAAGCACTTGGTAGCTGATCATGTGCTTACAACATTCACCGCCGTCAGCAGAAAAAAAAAATCAATGAAGCATAACGAAAAGTTGTTTATACCCCTAAATAAAAGAGTGGTGCAAGTTTCTATGTGCTGTGCACTCGTGAATGCAAAGCAAGAAAATTCATCAAACATGTATTATGCTTCAGGTAAGCAACGAGATTCTGCCCTTATTTTTTTAAATCCCTGAGCTATGTCGCCATGATCAGGCCATGGCTGTTAGAGACGAGAAGTGCAATCCCATCAGGCTTTCAATCACACTCAGTGACATCAGTGATCCTGGAGCGTACTAAATATTGAAAGCCCAGCGGGCATGAGAAAAATCGGAGATAACGAGCTTTCAACATCCAGTGCGGTCGGGCTGAGTTACTGTACCTTAACTATGTAGGAGCTGGATTCCAGTGCCGTCACACCAGAGTACAGCGCCGTCGGGTATGGGGGCCACACTTCCTATACAAGCAGGAAGAGAACGAAACCGCAAGGCAGTTAGCTCATCTATGCTCAGGGTTGTGCTGATTACTCTAAAGGAGTCATTAGAATTACCTTGCCAGAAGGTAATGAAGAACCATTACAGATTACCGTACGTCCCAAGGAAAAAATAAATAATTCTTACTACTTAATTAGGTTAAACAAATGTTTCTAGAGGAACCCAAAAAATGAATGCTGGTTTGTTGTGTTTGCGTCCTGGATTCTGCTTCATGACGACTGTATTCACTTCATTTGGGTCACTGGTTCATATAGCGAATTCTTTGCGGCTTTTCTGTCAGAGCTGCCGATGAAGTATGCATTGATGAAAAAAAAGAAAAGAAACGGGGGAGGGGGTCTGTTCAGATGGTTCGTTGCAGTCGTCGTGGCGTCGTGGTTCGCTTTAGGGTTAGAGGGTAAAAATAAGTATCAGCAAAATGAGATGAAGTGACTCCATCTAGCGGCCTCCACGTAAAGCAGAGAAGCGAGTGATCTAGCGCTTATTGGTGTGTGCAGCAAAAACTCGCGTGGACTGGCGGGTAAACCGTGAAACAAATATTCGACAAAGAAAAAGAAACGGCTGTCTTGAAGTTGCGAAATCGTTCGCAAAGTACGCATATTTACTTGGCGTTTCCCGTTCAGCAGCTGCTCTGCACATTATAGTTTGGTACTAAGACTTGAGATTGATGTCGCGTCAGCGCGATGGTTTCGTGGTCTCGAGCGCACTCGCAGACCCCGAAACGCCGCGGGGCTGGTAGCCATTTTTTTTTTTTTCTATTTGAAAAACGTGTGCTCGAAGCTTATCGTACGTCATGTCTACTCTTTACTTTCTTCCTTTTTGTAGTTGCTGTTGGCTTAAAAGCTTTGTCATCGATTTCAAAATTCTGGCCATCGATCGACCGGCATTTATGATGCGTTCTTCTTGCCCGTGTTTTCCTCGGACCCTATCCTGTTAGGCTTAGCGAGCAAGGGAGTGGGAGCGCGGCCCAGCAGAAATTTATGGAGCTTGAAGGAGCGAGATCAGAGCCATTTCGCATCATAAACTTCCTCATATGGAGAAGGGGGGGAAGGCATTTTTCGCTGATGTCGAGGAGGGGAAAAAATGGGATTCTTGTTTTGGTTGTTGTTGTATAGTTTAGTTTTCAACGAGCCGTCCCGGAGTTTGCCAGCGCGCCCCCTGAAAATGGAGGAAGCCCAAGAAACGGCCAGTGGTCTGCGCGTTGCTTCCCTTCTCTGTTGGAGCATTTGAGTACAATATATGTATTTTTGTTGTTTTTTGCTCGAACGAAATGCTCGTAAACTGCGTACCCCGGTAGACCATGTGAAGTTTACGCGCGCGTGCGTGTAGTATTCTTGGCTCTTTACCAGGCAGAAGTATGAAACGGCGATAACTATTTCGACCTTACCACTATATTTTTATAGCTTTCCAGTTTTCGAAATCATTATCGTATGTTGGTGCCGAGAAGAAAATAAACATGGTTTTTAGATTTTTTAAACGCCTCTTTTTGCGGGAAGAAGAAATGAAGAAAAAGTCGTCTGCTACAAATTGCTCTCGTCGCCTAGCGAGAATACCATCCTTTATGAAGAACGTCACACGGGAGCGATATATATATATATATATATATATATATATATATATATATATATATATATATATATATATATATATATATATATATATATATATATATATATATATATATATATATATATGATGTCTAGGGGGCTTATTTTCTGGAGTACTTGCGTAGCGCTTTATTACGGTCCTGTATCGTTAGTTTTGTGTTCGTTTTTATTCGAGACGCCGCGCGGCGACGTATTTCAATGGAGGTCTCCGCCAGGCAAAAGAGCAAGCGAAGCAGACGACACAGGCACCAAGCGAGCTGGTCGAGCGCGCCTTTTCAAACGGTTGGCGGTGCCGTGTGTGCACAGAAAAAAAAAACCGTTTCGCCTACGACTCGCTGTGTCTTCCGCTCGAGGTAGCAATGGATGAACAAGTTAGCCGCGTCGCTTGGCGCTTGCGATTTGTTTGATTTCTTTAGTCTCGTCGCCGTAAAACCGGTTTAGCGTCGCCCGACGGCCCGTAGGATACACGCATTACAAAATGGCGATCCCCGACCAACCGCCTCGCTGAACGCCGAAATCGAAACCGTTCGCTGTTATGGTTTATGAAACGTTATTCCGTTCGTGTAGTGTTGTAAAAACAGAAACTAGGGAAGTGTTTGTGTTCACCTATGCAACTTTAAAAGATAGCCCGGATAGGTTAGGTAACATCGAACGCCGAAGCTAAAAACGTAGCTTTTGTCTGCTTACGTAAAAAAAAAAACCGGTTACGCCGCTGCGTCGTCTGCTACCGGAAACCTGGGCTCCTGGCGCCACCTGCGAGAAATGTCTACCTCCGCGCTCGCCGCCACGCCTTGCTGGAAAACAAAACGTCAATAAGTAAGCGGGAGGAAAGAAAAAGAAACACAAAAAACGCGCGGACAACATGGCGTCTCCCTGGCTGCTCGAACGTGTGTTTTTCTGCTAGCGTTGGGCGTTCGGTTGTTTACATCAGGGTCATTTCCGGAGTTTTCTCGGGCGTTTTCTTTGAGAGTGGTCGGGGGATTGAGTTTCCTTTGGTTAGGGGATTAGCGAAACCAAACTGGGCTAGCGTGGCGAGATTATCGGTCGGCCTGGCTACGACAAGCGAACGGATTTGGACGTAGCAGAGAGCCGCGCGCGCCTCTGGTAATCCGAGTGAGTCGGAAGTATTGGATTCCGCCCTACTGTGTGTGCGTGCAAGTTTAGGGCAGTAACGCCGCCCACTGTAACTCCCAAGTCATGGAACTCTACGTCTTCTGTATGGTGAGCTTACTGTAAGTATCTAGCCAACTTCCCGTTTTGAATTGGTAGCATGAAGTGTCATCTAGTGCGTAATGGCCGTTAAGAAGTTTTTGTGCTTGTTGTTATTTGTGTTGGCGACGTGAACTAGGCATTTATGTAGGCTTGTGTCTTTATGTTGAGTGGGCTAAAGCTTAAAAAAAGTAGAACGTATTTGCAAAGGTACAATTTTTTTTTCTTTGTGTCGTTGTGAGTCGAAGTGCTGTAAGACATTCAATCTTTGCCGTACTTATGGGTGACATCATGTAATGTTCGTAGATGTTGCAAGAACTCTCCGCGGCTTGGAGGAAAGGGTGTGACACAAGCACAAGTTTTGCATCTTGTGCTACAGAATCGGGCCAGAGTAGCATTATGGCAGTGTGAAATTGGAGGCACATTAACGACCCGCTTGCTGCTTGTACTACTACTATCGCTATACATCTAGTAGTAATAATAATACTTTTACTTCCTAACAAAACAAATTTGGTACACACAAAAGCTCCTTTATACTAGAGACAAGGGGAAACAAGCTGTTAGAATCATGTCGACTGGCATCGGACCTCCAAAATACAACATCAGCCCAGCACTCATTGAAAGGGTACTCAAGTGGATTATGAGATTGTCTATTTATGGGGGTAACGCAATCTACAAGCACTAAACATCCTAAAAAAATTAGTTACATTTATGGGCAGCTGATTTCCTTATATTAAATATACCCAAAGATCGTGACATGACCCTCTTTCTGCGCCTTGGTGCAGACGCCAGGGGCGCCGACAGGCGGCGTTTTAATTGCTCTATTACGTTTCCTAGACCCAAAGATTTGACGTTTTTGTCATATTATAATGTACAACGCGCCTAAAAAGAGCAATAATAGTGACGTTCGGAATCTCCACACATTTAACTATTTGCATTGGTCAAATTTTATGGAGGAAATGGGGACCCGACGATGTCCTCCCCAAGAGAAAATAGTGCCCGTGTATTTCCATTGCTGTGAGCTTACCAGGCTGTGTTGCCATGTAGAACTGGTCAGTTTTATTGACTAAGGCCCAACGAACAATATGCCATCAAAAATAAGCTTCTACAAAAAAACATTTGAGCGCACCTTTAAGTGATAAACTTATAAATGAACAAATCACCAATAAAGATGACATCGTTTGATGATGTTACAACTTACGTATACTATATGTTTTTTTTATCATGTGCCGGCAGTTGCGCTGATTGTTACTGTGGTAGTCGTCACAAGCACCTTTCTTAACAAAGTAAAAAAGATAAGTACCGAAGAAGTGTTTGGAATCAGCACAGTGTACGTGGCTTTCACAACATTGCTAGCATTTCTGTGTGATAATGTTTTATTTTGCTTTAATTGCCTGTGTTTAAGTATTCGTGGAACCCTATAACATGTGTCAAGTTACGCCACCATATGTTGGGAGACAAGTACTAAGAATGGGTTTTGTGTACCTTATTAGAGAAGAGGTCGAAGCTGCCAGCTTTTCAAGTTAATTTTTTTTTGAAGAGGTAAGCTCTTTCGCTGCGTTTGTTACAGACGCAAGACGGCCATGATTCTGTTCCTGTATTTTACACTGAACGCAGTGTACTTGTAATAACGACGTATGATATACGCATATATTCTGGATTGTAATTAATTGCCTCGAATAACCTAACAGAAATGGTTTGTCATCAAAACTGCGCTTTGATGACAAACAATTTCTGATGTTCCTGACTTCTTTGTTTACTTGGTTGGCGCCGTGGTCTCGAACTTCACGAGTGTTAGTAGTCACAGTTAACTCTTCCTTTGGTAGGAACGCCGACTTTGTGCGTAGCTTAGACGGTCCGTGGCCACTATGATTGGACCCAATCTCGAGCTTGAATACCCGAGCGCCATTGCGAACTGTGACGCAGCGCTCGTGTCAAATCGCGCTCAGTAGAATGGCCTCCCCAAAGTTGCCCTTCTTGGCCACCAGCCGCGCTGACTAGCAGCCGACCGAGGCGCCTCCTGCTCACTGCCCTGGGGCTAGAGGGATGGGATTGAGACTCTTCAAATATGGAAAACAGTTAATATGCGCAACATTTCAGGAGTGACGGACGGCTAATGTTTATTCACCGAACAAACATTTTCCGCAGAATCTTACTGATATCAGTGTAAAAGTATCACGTTACAACGAAAGGTTCTTTGGGCGATGTACCGTGTGCTGGGCGGTGCAGACGCAGACGTTTTATCCACATCGAAATGTGTCAAATATGCTTGTTCCTACTTTTTTCGAATTTTGTATTTGATTACAGTATCCTTCGTATTGTATTCCGCACCTGGTGTAAATCCGCAAAAACAGATTTCGGCTAAAGAAAAAATTTTCTTTAATTGTTCGCACAATCTGTTCGCACATGCATTAAAAAATGCAGGTTTTTTTTTTTTAACGCACAAAGAAGCTTGTATCTTCAGAAATCGTCATTAACATAATCTGTAATTTAGGAAACCTACCACATGTCATAGCAAACGTTCTTAAAAAAAAAGAAAGAAAAACTTAAATTATTTGCACCTCTAAATAGTTTGCACTGCGGGAAATTTCAACTTTTAATCACTTATGGTCTGGAAGATACGTTCAATGGTTGTATGCGTCTCCACAGTAACAAATTTACTCTTTGATCAAAACGTACAAACGGCATGTTCTCCAGCGCACTCCACCATGATTTCTCTCGATTCTGGCGGCGGCGTTTTAGGGTGCTGGCAACGGTGGTGGTGCAGGGCATCTACTGCTTCATGTACTGCTCGTATCCGCTTCCGGGAGGCGCCGACCCCTGCCCCATGGTGGCCTGCTTGCGCCGCAAGAAGCGGAAACCAAGGCAGAGGTCCAACTCCGCCGAAGTCATGGTACGTGTGGTCTTCTCTGCTGTCCTTCTGGGCGGGTGGGCGGCTCCCTTTGGCTAACGTTCTTTTGCCGATCGTCATTCTACCAACCTTTTTTAAGCAAAGTGCATAAACAATAAAAAAATATTTTTTTTATTGTTTATGCACCCTGTACCCTTCCCTCCTCCTCCTCAGTACCCTTCCCTCCTCCTCAAGAGCTGCGCTCTAATTCGGCGTTACAGGGAGTTGTAAACGACTTTTTTTTACCGCAAAATTGGATTGCGTTTTGTAGATAAAAGGGCCATAAGACACGGAGGACAAGTTAGGAGGACGGCGTACACCACAGAGCGCTACTATACACGCTTCTCCGAACGCTCAGTCCCGGCCTAAATGGAACGCTGCGGTTCGAACCGGATGCCAAAGTTTCGGAGTTTGCCGTTACCTGGTTCAAAAAGTTAGAAGCGATTTTCTGAAATTGTCGACGGGAAAAAATGGGGCCCGTTCCCATTAGCCGAAGCCATTCATCTCCCGTGTGGGTTTCGTCGGCCGCCATTTTTTTCCATTGGCAATTTCCGGAAATTGTTTATTACCTTTGAATCGAATAACGGCAATGACATCTAGTCCTAATGGCTAGCACTATATTTAGGTGACTGTTCGACGATGGGAATAACTTTTTTTTTCTCGGTAAAACAAATAAACCGCTGTAAACACTTTTTTTAGACGTCCGGTATACCTATATTAGAATTAAAACACACACACACACAAACTCAGACACACACACCACACGCACGCACGCTCGCACAAACAAACTAACTAACAAAACACCTACACGCTAAAGCGGGGGTCACACAAGATGCTTAAAAACCACTTGTCTCAGGCGGTCGTAGGCAAGCGCTAGTGTGTGAACGGGCCTTTGGTGGGTGCTAATTCTAATTTTCACGTGCCCATTTTGCCGCTAAATGTAGCGGGTAAACTGATCTTTTGTATGGGTCACGTGACGTCAATTTTCCCGCTAAGTTTAGCTAGGAAACTGAATTTGCCTGTAGGTCACGTGACATAAAGTCATGTGACGTCATTTTCCCCGCTAAATTTAGCGGTTGAAATCCTCGCTTACGCTTTTTGAGGTTTCACATTATCTGGAAACCTAGCCTATAAACGTTTCACGTTCAAAAAAAAAAAACACATTGGCATAGGGCATAATTATTCCATACAATTACTGAAATATCCTCTGCGAAAGCACTTCCAAACGCGTATGTGGTCTCCTGTCCCCACTGCTCTCTGCCGCGCCATTTTTTTTACACCTTTTAAGCTAATGAAGGGTTTCCCCGGAATGGCGGTATCCTAATTGGAAATGCTAATGTATTACCCCTAAGACGAGGGCTGAAAAGGGGAGGGGGGGGGGATTAGGGGGGGGGGGGAGGGGGGCGTTGAGGCGAGGCGATAGGTGCAAGCATAGCCGCCTATAATCAAATTGTCGAAAAACCCTTAAAAAAAAGGAAACGTCTAAATTTTTTTTTTGTTCTGCAAATAAACTGCGGCACACAGACTGCACACGATCACACTGCACACTAACCTTGATTTCACGTGACTTCGCGGCGTCACGTGGCGTGTAGCGGGAAACTTAGCAAGCATTTCCCAGTCGCGGCACCCCTCCAGGAAGCACATTCGTAAATCCGGTGTGAAAATGTACCGTTAACAACGTTTGCTCTAAAAAAGAATGGGTACAGTTTTGAGAGTATAGCAATGAGTGAAGCTTTAAGTTACGGATTATTAAATTTTCTAGCAAACATCTCTCACTTTTGGCGGTTCGGGCCTCGAGGAATAACAGTCCACTAGGCTATAGACCAGAGGACTGCTCGCTTCGCTCCTTCCTCGAGTGACACTAGCAGTAAGCTGTGCAGTCTATCGAGCTGGTTTCCACCATTGACGAATGGCAAAGACGGGCCCATTCTCTAAAAGGTGATTCAGAGAAACGAGGGCTCGATGAAACAACCGTTACTTAGATGGCATTCGGGGGGAGCCAAGCATAAAGTTGTGGATAACGCATCTATTATAGGCAAGGATGCCTACACTTTTGGCCCGGTCATTAGGATGAGTTGGAGCAGTAGCACAGTTTTTGTACTTTCGAATGACAATTAAGCTCTTTCCCAGCAAGGTGCAAATGTCACAGATCGCGTGTTTGCCTGATTCGATTGTTGTTTTGTTTCTTTTTTTAGATCTCGATGGAGGACGTGAAACCGGAACCGCAGACGCCATCGCCCATGCCGACCCATGAGTACAAGACGCGCGGTGGACAGACGGACGTTTGACGTCGTCGCCGACGTCATCAGGAACAGTGACCATCCCCTGGCGGGATGAAGAGTTCCTAGGATGCATCCCTGTGAGACAATGATGGGGAACGCGCGGTCCCTACGAGGGATGAAGGACAGGAGCGAAAAAGTCCCTATGAGGGATGGAAACGCTACACGGGGAGTCGCTTGAGGGAAGGCCGAGGGTTCGGGAATAGAGGGTTTTAGTAGATCGTTCCGATGTTTCCGAGAAGGATACCCGATACTCTGCCGCCGCCTTTTCGCATGCGTCGTATCGTTATTGGAGGTATCGGGTATGGGAACGATCTACTAGAACTCTCCATTGAGTGACCACTATCGTTAAGGCTGTTGCCTAGTGCACCAGTTTTGGTGTGTTTCAAGTTGTGACCAGGTTATGCTGTTTTCGGTATACGTTTTTTTTTTACTGCACATTTTTATATGAGTTATGATTTTGGGATGATCATCTTAGGACTTGGAGGTCTCGTGACCAAAAGAGCGAAACGGAGTCAGTAGCCTAATTTGTCTTTGCGCACCTGCGCGCGGGCGAGAAAGAAAAAAAGAAAAGACACTAGTCTTTTCTCTTGGAACGCCGTTTTCGTAGAGCTAGTTTTAACAAAAACTATAAAATTCGTCAATGAGCAAATCGTTGAAGGTGAATGAATGACGTTGAAGTGCCTACAGGAAGCTCGTGCAGGGGTTTGGGATACGGGACATGAACCAGTACAGTTCGATTGTGTCGACTTGGTGGGTGCGAGTTTTACTTGGTTAACATAATGGTGCAGTATTTTTACAGAATGCTATTTTACGCGTGGCTTGGTGGCGCAAGTCACCTTCCGATTACAAAAAAGTTTAAAGTGGCGCACATCTACGGTCCGTTTGTTCAAAGCGGTTGGATGCATTCTTTGATAAGTTTTATCCAACTTTGATAGAATACACACTCCCGGGTTTTTTTTTGTACACGACGTTTTCTATACGGCGTCTACTCTATTAGACGTGAGCGTTTGCAGTATTTTGACCATAGAGTTATTGCAATAAACGCTAGAGGTTCATGTGGCGCTAGTGTGCTGTAGCATTTTAAAGCAGAAAGCAAGCAGTCAGAAATTGACTTCCGGTAATGCATTTCTATGGGAAAAAGCGAGTGCATTTTCTTTTTGCGCTCGATTATAAGAGCAAATATCACAAATAATTTGTATGTACTAGGCACATTGGAACATTTCTCAGTCTCGCAGACGAAATAATTGGTCAGTTACAGCATTTTTATTTGGAATTCGTGACATGAAAAGCGGTGCTAAAACCGCTTCGTACGTGTATTTATGTGCACTGTCGGACACTGTTAGCTCGAACACGGCGTCGACGCTGTCAGCATTGGAAATATACGTGCCAAACGAACGAAGGACATGTGGAAAACCAAGAGAGACGGCAAGAACTACGCAGTAATACTGGATAAGTAACTCCTTGTATATGCAGACGATCAAAATAAATTGAATGCCATGTAATATAGTCCGATTTGCGATATATAAGTACTGCTTTATTCCTGGTCATGAATATGTGCGAAGATGCTTGTTCTGGGTTTAAATCATCACCCATCACCCGCACGCTCCAAATCTTTGCAAATGGGGGGAAGCCAGAGAGCAGGTGCCCAATAAAAACTGCCCGACATAAAAAAAAATAATAATAAAAAAGATACACCTTTCGTAACTCACGTGCTTTATTTTTTGTTTTCGAATGTTTTTTTAACCGATCGTAAAGATGCACGACGGAGTCATTTTCATATCGTGAGAGGACAGGCATATTAGCAACATATAAGCAGCACCGAAATGCTAGCAAACCTTGAACACACTCTACATTTCTTTCGATCGTTGGTTCGCCCAGAATCGTCGCTCGTTTTTACATACCTTCCTTGCAACAGAGGTTTGGGCCTGAAATAGAGCGAAGTTTAACATCGTTCAGTGGTGAAGAAAAAATGGTGTAACTAAAGAATTACACTTTCACAATACCAGTAAAGGTACGTACTATCCGGTACAACCGAAATGACAAAAGTTATTCATGTTATTTTCCGGCGAAGAGACAAAATATACGTGCGTTTTCCCATAGGAATACACAGGAAGACTTGAAAACTAGTCTGCATGCTGTCTGCTTCAATTTGCAACCGGTAGTCCCGTAGACAGTAGCGCCAGCTGAGCCTCTAGCGTTTATTGTAATAACTATGATTTTGACTACGCAGAAATTATATTTTTATACAAGATTCGATAATTCATATTTGTATGTGGTGACTGTTACTGTAGACTTTTAACCTAATGGCGACGCCATTTTCGTTTGTGTCTGTGACCACACACCGCCGAACGCAATCAAGTTAATCATGGCCATTGTTGCCTGGTGTAGTCGGTGCATATATCTATGTTGGTAGCGACCATCTAATAAGATGGCGTTCTCTTCAGCACCCCACTTTATTTTCTGCTATATTAGCATTGTTTTATAGCTGTAGTCGACAATAGCTTCAGGAACGCGAAGCACCGGTCGCCTCAACAGGTGGCGCAAGCTACCGCCCCATATTACGGCCAGTTCCATCGACCCATCCGTACAGTTTCTGAAACGGTTATAGGGTGTGTTTTCGGCAGCTTTTAGGGAGTAGAAGTCGCCCTCTCTTAAGCGCGTACACTGGTGTAATGATAGGAACTTGTGGCAACTATCATCCATCCAATTTTTGAAACCGTTATTGGAGTATTTTTGTTATATTATTGTAGGGAGCGAAAGTAGCTCTCTCCTAAGCGCGTACACTAGTGTAATGTTACGACGCGTGACTTGCTGTTTGCCTTTGTGCCATCAATGTTTGACTTGACCATTGAAAGTCTCTGATCTCTGTGGGGCGTTGACCAGTTCTGGTGAAACGACCTCGCTCAAGTTTGCACCGTCCATATCTTCTATATTTGCTCGTTCGAGCAGACGTTGTTTTAGTAGCGTTCGACATTCTCAGAAAGTTGTGGGCAACGGAGAATCGTTTCCGCCGCCATCAACGAGATCTGAAAGGAAACTGGCAACAAAGCAGACCATTTTGCTAACTAGTTTTTTTTTTTTTTTTTTTTTTTGCACGCTGGAAGTATATGCTATGTACACATGTGCACCATATTTTCGGCTAATAAATGATGTACCTTTTTACATTTTAAAGTTGTACGATATATTTATTGATTGATATTTGCCCGACACTTTCGTTTACTCGTGTATCACCTGTTTTGCTAAATTTAATAATATTGCTAACGTTGCGTGTATGTTTACACAGCCGGAAGTTATTCAGCCTCTGTGGTCGTCGGTTTTCTCAAGTGTAGACGAGACATTTAGCCAGTGCAGCATACAACCGCTAGCCTGGGGGACCTTTTGCGTGCATTACGCTGTAGCGATAAACGACCGCACGCCGGTACGACTCTCATCCAGGTCGAAACGGGCAGGGGTGGTGATCGGACCCAGAATCCCCGAGTGCTAAATTTCACCATTTTTTTCGTATATATCTCAAAAAATGCGTTTTACACTTACACAAAGCTAAGCAAACTAGACGTTCAATGTTCAGGCAACAGCCACTAGTGGCCCCACGGATGCCTCGTAAGGACGCCTAAGAACAAATTACGACGCGGCGTCAACATAATAAACCAGTTTCTGCGTTACTTCAGACGGTCGGTGGCCACGCCAACACACTGCTTACGAACAAGAGCGCGTTTGCCACACCCGGTGTGGGCGCGTGCGCACAGACCAGATTCGCGAGAGAAGATGCGTCTGCGCATGCGCAATGCCGACAGCAGCGCTACCACGACGTCAGAGGGTTAAGTTAGTGTTAACGTCGTACTGCGCTTCAGCGTACGTCAGGTTCCTCCAGCACGTGCTCGTTGCCTTCAATCGAGCTTTGGCCGCGCGCGAGACGAAATGTTGTCAAAGTCAGGATTCTGGCGCTCGACGCGGGGCATCAATAGACCGATCTCACCAAGCGTTCCACGCATGCGTGACGCCGCCATAACTGTAGTTCGAAGGAGGCAGACGCCAGTTCACGAGAGAGCTCACGCCGCCTCGTGCTCTGCTCGCGCAGAGCTCCAGCGGGGTTGTCGCGCGTGCAGAAAGACTACAACTCCCACGATGCATGTCGGCAGCGGTGGCGTTCTCAAACTACCTGGTGAGATCGGTATATTCCTGTCACCGACTACGGAAGCCATCGAGCCAATCGAACATCGCGGAAGGCGCTACGTCACTGCTTCCGTAACGTTGTTCTTTTTTTTTTTTTTTAATGCGAAAGCATTAACTGTTTATGGAGAGGAGACGGTGTTGTCCGGTAACCGCGAAAAACGGCAGAGAAATTCCCTCCTCGCCATAACGGTTCTTAAAATGGCTGCGACGCGGCCCGCGCGCCGGATAGTTCCAAGGAACGCCACCCCACGAACCTAGCGCTGCTCCCGCGAGCCGCCGCAGCAGCGCACACCTGCCGCTCCCCGGAGCCCGGCCGGACGGCCTCTGTAGAGGACAGCGGGACGCGCAGCTTGTAGAAATACGCTACGTATACGAATGCTTTCGCATTCCTACCTGTCGGCAGTCTTAACTGTCATCCTGTAATTTTCCTTGTTTAAAACGCAGCTCTTAGGCGCTCGATCCGGTTTGAGCGGCGTAGCCGTCGGAGTAATTTTGCGTTGCATTACGGGACGTTTCCCATAATGACGTCACACGTGCAGAGGTCGGCATTTTAGGTCGCCCTCAGTTACCCTCACAGCTACACTCACCCTCGGCCCCTCACTCACCCTCATCCTCACAGTGACACTCACCTTCAGCCCTTCACTCACCCCCACTGAACCTCACGGCCCTCACGCACTCGCAGCCCTCATGACCCTCGCGCACTCATGCCCTCACACCCCTCACGCAATAATGGCCCTCACGCCGCTCACGGCCCTCAAGCTCTCATGGCCCTCACGCACTCACCGCCCTCACGCCGCTCATGGCCTTCACGCCCTCAAAGCCCTCACGCACTCATACCCCTCCCGCACTCACGGTCCTCACTCACCCTCACAGATGAATTTTCTTGGTTCAAAAACTCACCCTCACCTCACCTGTGAAGATGAGGGTGAGCAAGGGCCCTCATGAATGAGGTTTGCCGAGGTATGCTCTCAGTGACGTCACGTGTGACGTCACGAGGCTCACTAGGGTCACGAGTGGCGTCACGAAGGTCACTCGTGAAGGTCACAAAACCTTCACGAGGGTCACGAGTGACGTTACGAGGGGGAGGAGGATAGAGGAGGAGGAGGAGTGGCAGACCCTCCCCTCCTCCTCTTCAAGAGCTGCGTTCTAATTCGGCATAACAGGGAAATGTAAACGTCTTAAACTTTTTCTTTTTTTATTGGGTATGTTATTTTATTACTTTCTGATCCAACCGAACTCAAAAATCGCGCCCCGACGTTCCGTTTCTTTTTTTTTTTTTCTGTTCGTGTTTTTTGTGTTTGCATTGGACTACAGTACCACATCTTCCAACGGAGGGCAGACGTAATGGCTGTTTCTACTCGGCCACTGAACGCCACCGGCAATGCCACTGAACTCCATCGGCAATCCTAAAACAAAATGAAGAAAAAATGCCGAGTCATCCCAGGCTATGTCCGTTCCTATATCCATAAAAAAAAAAAAAAATCTGTTTCCGGCCTTGCAACAAGTTTGCCTCGGATCGTCTCGTCTACTCCACGAAAGAGCTGATTCACGCGGACGGCGTTGCAGATTCTTCACCTCATGTGCGACGCGTAAACAAAAAAAGACGAAAAAAAAAGGCAAACGTCTAGAAGGTTCAGCCACACGTCGAGAGCCGCAAGATAAAGTTTCGTAGCCGTGTCGTCGTTAGGCTCGACCCCGACGACGGGCGACCACGTTCGGAAACCCGAGACGACCACTGACAAGGACGCCTTCAAAGCCACGGCACGTATACCTTTCGAACTTTCGTCTCTCCCTTTTTTGGCTGGAAACGGCAGCTTGAGTGCTATATACCGAAACGCACAAACCCAAATGCGTC